GGAGATCGACTGGCGAATTGGAGTAACCACTGGCGTTCTGCGTGAACTAGCCGGACCCACTGAGACTAAAGCAGAGCTCAGTCTGAAAACTAGGCTCTCCATATTCAAGTCGATCTTTATCCCCATGCTTATCTACGGTCATGAGTCGTGGACCATGACTGAACAACTTCGAACTCGGGTAGAAGCTGCTGAAATGGGCTTTCTTAGACAATTCGCTGGCGTGACGCGTTTCGACCTGGAAAGAGAAATCCGCGGGAACCTTGGTGTACAGCCTTTGCTTTTCCAGATTGAGAAGTCACAGTCGCGATTGTCTGAGCATATGTTGGGATTGTCTTCAGGAAGGAAGACCAAGCAACTGTTTCTTGTGAAACCGACCGGCAGAAGGTCCAGCGGACGGCCACGATTAACCTGGTGCAAATATATGGAAGGAGTCTGTTCCAGACTGATTTTGTCTTTTGCCGAAGCTCAGACTCTGGCACAGGATCGAGAACGTTGGAAGCACTGTCTGAAGCGTCTGCCTCCGCGACCTAAAAGGAGAAACGGCGATGGAAGATGAAGATATATTAGAAATTTTATCAACATTGTAGACCCCTTATTCAGTTTAGCAACTTACAAGGTTGCTTAGCGGTTGGACGACCATCACCATTTTGCCTGAATAAAAATTAACGATGATATTTTGTTTGTCACAGCTCGGATCTCATAACTAAATCGTGCAGTCCGTAGTGCATGGATCAATGCCCTGGATTTTGTCACCGTGACAGAAAAACTCCATTCATCGCGCATTTATTCACAGATCCATCCCGCGAATATGAATTTAATAGTACCAGCTTTGTGGAAATTCTGCAGCCTACACGTCAATCCATGTACACATATTACTGCAGCACTGGCATATTAGAAAGTCATTTTCCATTATCAAAATATCATTGCCTGTTATCCAGATTTGCCCTTACTTGGAGGTCGCCATTAACATTACAAAAGCGTTTCCGGTTTGTAATGCCACATTTTCATGTTTAAAGAAGGTGAATAAAGACAATGGATATCGCAAATGCCGTAAAAGGAACAATTCATTTTCGAACGCAGACGTGCCTCTATCTTGTTCATCTAGATGGTAGGCCAGTCTCCTAACAGCTGTTTGCCATGTTACAGTTATTATAAGCTTACAGGTATTGGTATTATAAATTATATGCTGAGGTAAGAAACGTATGCATAACCAATTTGCAGAGAGAAGACTTCTTTACTCTAATTTGCAGTTGTGCAAAAGATACCCATACTCCGGAACGAATAGACATTTTGTGCATGATTCTTCCATTTAATCAGTATCATGAGTCAATACCAGCGCTAGTATTATTTCGGTAAAACCACAGCCACTGTATTATAACATTAATCATTTAACTAAAGGAATGTACATTAAACTTCCTACAGAAATATTCCTTTATCAGCTCAAATAATGAACAGGATACTGAAAACGCTAGAAGAACGGACTCACCTCTAACTGAAATCTAATTCTTTGGTACTTTCCTGCATTACTAACCTGAATTTGACTTATTCTAAGTGTTGAATATTTTCTAATGTCAAAATCTGTGGTGGCATTTCTGGGAGTTGCGTAAAAATTGAAACGCAAATTTCGTGAAACTTCTTTACTTAAGACTACTGGACCATATTTTACATTGGATCAACTGTTACAACCAATCACACCGTTCATTTTTTGAATCATGTAAAATGAAATTTAAATGTAAAAGGCCCATCATGGCCAAAAGGATTGAAACCCTGAAATCCATAAAATGGATGCCCGCCATGTTGTTGCTGCTGCATTTCCGGATCCAATGGGTCGATGCCCGAATCAAACTGCTGACGCTTATCTGAAAAATTCACTGTCAGCAATCTGGTCAGTCGCTTAGTCATCATAAATTCCACAATAAAATACGACTAACTTCAAGATTCAATTCAAAGACTATGTAATTTTTTCGTGCACTAGTGTTCATACTGAAAACTAACCGATTGCTGAGAAATCATGGGATTTCGCATATCTGGGGTACACATGCTTTGTTGACCTAGAAAAGCCCTATGATCGGATCCCGCGCAACAGTCTGTGGTCATGCCTTCGAGCATACGGGATAGATGGCCAGCTACTAAGGGCCATCCAGTCATTGTATTCTGATAGCAGGCGCTGTGTCAGAGTTAATAGCGTTAAGTCGAAACCATTCAACGTTCGCACTGGTCTCCGCCAAGGCTGCGTCCTGTCTGCTATCCTGTTTGTGTTGTACATGGATAGAATAGCCAGGAGCTGCCAAGGCGATGAGGATATCAGTATAGGAGATGTTAAGTCGAGAAGGTTGCTTTTGGCAGACGATCTTGTTTTATTAGCATCGAAACTGATCTACAGCGCTCTATGGAAAGGTTCTCAGCCGAGCATGACGTGGCCGGCATGCGTGTGAACGTAGCTAAAACGAAAAGCCTAATGATTCCTCGTTCTTTTGCTCGTTGTTCTCTTCGGATTAACGGAAAGACATGGAGTAGGTGCAAAAGTTCAAGTTCCTCGGAGTCGTATTTACTGGTGATCGAAAATTTGAGAAAGAGATCGACCGACGGAATGGAGTACTTAGTGGCATTCTGCGTGAACTGGTGGAATCGTTGTGATTACAACATAGCTACGTCTGAAGACTAAGCTATTTGTGTTTAAGTCGATCTTCATTCTAGTGCTCACCTATGGGCATGAGTCGTGGACTATCACTGAAAAACTTCGACCCTGCTTACGGAATTGGCACTCTCAGACGAATCGCTGGCTTTAAGGGTCTCGACAAGATCTCCAGTTCAGAAATCAGCGAGAACCTCTGGGCAGAGCCGCTGCTTCTTCAAACTGAGAAGTCACAGTTGCAATAATGCCTCCGGAAAGGAACGCCAATGCCACCGGCCGAAGACCCAGTGGTCGGCAAAGATTAACATTGTGCAAGTGTATTGAAGGAGTCAGCTCTGGATTCCGGTTGTCCTCTGCCGAAGCTCAGACTCTGGCACAAGATCAGGATGCTGAAAGCACTGTCTGACGCATCTCGCTTTGCGAAACGAAAGGAGAAGCGGTTACGGAAAGTGAAATCATTCTTGAAAATAATATTGGCAAACAAGTATCTGTTAAGCAAGTTACATCAGATTTTTGCTCGTAAACTTTTTCTACGATGAAAATAAAAATCGACAGATTTTAATAGAACGAAAAGCCCAGTGCTTTCTCGTTCTCTTGCCCGCCGCTCTCTTCAGATTAACGGAGAGGCAGTGGGGCAGGTTGAGAAGTTCAAGTACCTCGGAACCGTATTTACTAGTGATGGAAAATTGGAGGAAGAGATCGACCGGCGAACTGGAGTAGTCAGTGGCGTTCTGCGTGAACTAGCACGGCCCAGAGTGACTAAAGGAAAGCTCAGTCTGAAAAGCTTTCGGTATTCAATTCGATCTTTATTCCCATACTTACCTACGGTCATGAATCGTGGACCATCACTGAAAAACTTCGAACCCGGGGATGTTTATCCCCATACTTACCTACGGTCATGAATCGTGGACCATCACTGAAAAACTTCGAACCCGGGTACAAGTCCCTATACTTACCTACGGTCATGAATCGTGGACCATCACTGAAAAACTTCGAACCCGGGTACAAGCTGCTGAATTTCTTAGACGAGTCACTGGCCTTACGCGTCTCGACATGATCCGGAATAGTGACATCTTGAAGAGCCTTGGAATACAGCGTTTGCTTCTCCAGATTGAGAAGTCACAGCTGCGATGGCTTGGGCATGTG